TACACACATACATACACACACACACACACAGACGGGGTCGTCTCAATATGTGTTTTTTGCAATTTGCATATAGGCAAAAACGCATAAAAACAATAAAATGTATCCAGTTATGCTAAAGTTTGTACTTTAAATACTTAAAGGAACCAAATTCAAGAAACAAGGCATAAAATAATTGGCCAACGCACAGGCTGCCCGTGCGAAGATGCGTTTTTTGCACAGTTTTCCGCAGTTTTTGTTGCTATCGGCACCGACTTTTCCGGTAAATGCTTCTGGCTAAATAAATTAAGACTGGCGCCAGAACTGTCAGAAAATGTCATACATGTCATACATGCTTTTCTTCATACATGAGTATGAAATATAAAAGTATATAAAAGTATAAATGAAATATAAAAAATATATAAAAGTATAAAAAACAGTCATACATGTCATATATGTTTTTTTTCATACATCTTTCGGTCATACATGAATAGGGAACATTACCCTAAAGTTTCAGCTTTCTGGCTTTTCCCGTTCTCAGGTTAGTAATTTTCGCGCCAAAATTCTCACGCACTGGTATGTGGGCTCGAGCGCTTCTAAACACCTGATTTTGCTCGTACATGAATAGGGAACATTCCCCGAAAGTTTCAACCTTCTAACTTTTCCCGTTCCGGGATTAGTAATTTTCGCGCCAAAATTTTCACATGCCCGTACGTGGGCTCGGGCGCTTCTAAACACCTGATTCTGCCCGTACATGAATAAGGAACATTCCCTTAAAGTTTCAGCTTTCTAGCTATTCCCATCCTCGGGTTAGTGATTTTCGCGTCAAAATTTTCACGTGCCCGTACGTGAGCCCCGGTGGTCCTAAGGAGCTGAATTTGAAAACTTTTGGTCGTGCATGAGTATGGAACATTTCCCCAAAGTTTCAACTTTCTAGCTTTCCTCATTCTCGAGTTGTGAATTTTCCCGCCATAATTTTCACCTGCCCGTACGTAAGCCCCGGATGCCCCTGGGTAGCTGAATTTGAAACCTTTTTGTCACACATGGGCAGGGAACATTTTCCCAAGGTTTCAGCTTTCTAGCTTTTCTCGTTCTCGAGTTGGCGATTTTCGCGTCAAAACCTTCACGCGCTCATACTCGGGGCCCAGACGTTCGTAAGAGCTAGAACCGCGGTCCTGGGGTGGTGCTTTGCTGGGAGACACACTGGCGAAATTTCAGCTTCAAAGTTTGCGTGGTTAGCGAGTTGAAACACCCGGAGAGACGAACACACACACACATACAAACATACATACACACACACACACACACACACACTGACAGGGCCGTTGCAATATGCGTTTTTGCTGCCTATTGCAGCGCTAGAGCGCTGTAAGTTCGAGAAGTTGATTGTGCAGCTATGTGGTATGTCAGTTGTAGATGTCGGCTTCAGTGACCCGGCAAATGGAAAGGTGCTGGGGCCAAACTAAAAGAGTTAAATTTGAAATCTTTTAGTCGCACATAAGTAGGGAACATTTCCTTACAATTAAAGCCTTCAGCTTATCACGTTTCCAAATTGGCAGTTTTCCCACCAAAATTTTCACGTGTCCATACGTGATTACCGGACGGTTTTAAGGAGC